ATAGGCATCAGAACAACTTTAGCTTAATTAAGCCGTTTTTGTGTGAAGATCATGTCGCTACAACCGCACTGCTCAATTCTCTGCCACTTAGGAGTTAAATCACTTTTGTTTCTGTTTATGCAGGATATATCTCCCCTGACTGTGATTCACACAGCGCACATGGAAATAATGGTTTAATTTTCAAACAGATGTTAACTTTACTCTTAACTATGTAAATTAAACTGTAATCACACACAATATATGTCTGCATGCTTTAGCAGGCTACCCTTTTCCCCTGAAAATAAGACCGGGTCTTATATAAATTTTTGTCCCGCAAAATGCACTAGGGCTTATTTTCAGGGTAAAATGGTAGCAAGCAAGCAGGTCTATGTTGGGGGGAGTTCCCCCCAACATAGACCAGTTCACTAGGGCATGGAATCCTTGAACACAGATTGGCAAACTAGCGACTAAGGCTTATTTTTGGGGGGAAAACTGAATTAACAGAACAGGATTTCAAAAATTTATCTGGACAATGGCAATTCTTTTTTAGCTTTCAGGGCTAAGTGTGATTACATCATAGGTGTGTAAGCTTCATTACTTGTACACTGGAACAGACAGATATTTGAAGACTGTGGAGGAAGAAAAACAAGCCTGCAGACCTCCCAACAGTCTTGATTTTGAGGTCCTGTCCTGCTTTATTTCTCTGGTGTCCCACATCTGGGGACACCAGGAAACTGTCCAGGACAGCATAGCAGAATTATGAGATGCGCTTGCACTATGCAGTAGGCACTAGAATCATGCAGGGAGCATTTCAGCAGCCCCCCCAGCATGGTTTGGAAGGATTAAGGGTCAGCCAGGCAGCATATCAGTGGGCACCCCGTCAGGGCACAGCCCACCCCATGCAGATTCGTACCTCTAGATTATAGGGAAGTGTGAGTCTCTTATGCTTTAAACTCAAGTATCCGCCAGGGTAAGACAGGGATGTTACAGTCAGGGATATATAGCTGATATGAACATTGTCTGTGAAACGTTGTACCTGGGATGTTGAGAAAATAAGATGATTCCTCCTGTAAAGACCATTCTTGCAGAATTGTATTTATGTGCAGTGTCTGTAACTTCCTCTCTCCACACACAGTGACCCCATACTGGCTCGTGCTGGTATTGCAGGGTAATCTCCGTTTATACTGAGAAAAATATCTGCATTTGTATTGCCGGTATTGCTGCAAAACCAGCACGGCCAGGCAACCTCAAATACTGGCTGTGCCGGTAAAATACCAGTCAGGTGGCAAACCTAAGAGTAGTGTGTAAAAAAAAAAAAAAAAAAAAGTAATTTTTTTTTCTCCAAATGGGCCTATTCCATGGGCCTTGGCCTGGACCTGAAGCTGCAGCTCCCTGAGCCCCTATGTTAATCCGGCCCTGGTCTAGGCCCCTACGCTCTGCCGAAGACATACGTCTATCCTCTGTCCGTACTCTTACTTCTGATGCTCGCCTTCAAGACTTCTCCAGGGCTGCACCATTCCTATGGAATGCCATTCCCCTCTTTGTTAGACTTTCACCCAGTCTTCATTTCTTTAACAAATAATTCAATTCAAATAAAATCAAAACTCACTTCTTCAGGAAAGTGTATCAATTAAACTGTGAACAGCTTTCCCTCCTTGCACCTTGATTCCTCTCATGCAACTGTAAATAAAATTTACAAAGCCCTCAGTGAATACTTTTCTAGCAACCTACTTTTATACCCCTATCTTTACCCTTTGTGTCACTATACCCCACTCCCTCTAGCATGTAAGTTCATCGAGCAGGGCCCTCAACCCATCTGTCCCTGTGCTCCAACTTGTCTGGTTACAATTACATATCTGTTAATCCACCCATTGTACAGCACTATGGAATTTGCTGGCACTTTATTAATAATAAACTAATAATAATAATAATAATATATGGACATATATGAACTCCTCTTCTCATGCTGCCTTTCAGGAAGGTATTGACCTCTCTGCATACACCTCTACCTCTATCCAGGCATGTTTCAAACATGCTTCATAAAAATGCTTTAGGCTAACAAAGCCAGCCAACAGGTCCTAAAACTCAGAAGCAGCTTCTCACAGCCAAGGAGAACTGCAAACAGAAATCTGGCCTTTAAACTCCACCACTCATATCCCTGACAGAACCAGTCAAGACACATAGTTGCAAAATTAGCTAATCTTTAAAGTTTTTAGTTCAACCTTTCACTAGCCATTCAAAACATTATATTTAACTTATAGCAACACACACAAAAAATATATATAATTATTATAATCATATTGTATGGAGAAGCATGAAGGCAACAACACAGTACCAGAAAATATAATTCTGTTAAGTCAGGGGAGCATTCTGCAGGCATTGTCACAATGTGCAAATATATGCAAAAACAAAGACTTGTCACAATGCACATTATTGTGAGAAGGTGTCAGGGTGCCTGTTTTATCCCAGCATCGATCTCATACTTGATGCAACATTGTGCCTCCTTCCAGCATCAATTTCAACATATACCATTTGTCTAACAACCAAAGTGACACTGTATTCCATTTCACAGTCAATTTTGACACAAGCTGAATCTCCTCTTTCGAAAGGAATGCAGACCACTATGTCTGCACTTAATTTATATGCAAAAATGAGGCATGCATGGCATCATTCTGGTGATGCAGCTCTAACAGTTTAGGCATAGGCGTGCGCACGGGATCTCCCCTGTCTGCTCATGCAGAGCTGGTGCTATCCGAGCGCCGGCTCTGCTCTAAGCCTCCATGGGCTGGTGGGGAGATCAAAGATCTCCCACACCGGCCCACAGCAGCATGGAGGGAGGCAGGACAGGACCCGGGGAGTTCTAGCCAGCAGCTCTGCCGGGTTCCTCTTGTGAGATCTGAACGTTGCCATGGCAACGCTCAGATCTCTCGAGAGTGAACTATAGCCCGCAGGCTAGAGTTCACTCTCCACTGGACCACCAGGGATGGCACATGGCAACAAGGATCCCCCCTCCCTACATAAGGTAAGATGTGAGGGGGGATATTTACTAATCTGCCCCCATCTCCACCCCCACAATCCCTCCAAACATACAGCACACACACAGCACCCTCACACACACGGCACACATACAGCACCCTCACACACACAGCACCCTCACCCACACACACACACCGCCCTCACACACACAGCACCCTTGCACACCACACTAACAGGACCCTAACAAACACACACTACCAGCACCCTCACACACAGCACACTACCAGAACCCTCACACACAGAACACAAACAGCACCCTCACAAACACACACACCCAAACACCCTCACCCACATAGCACACTACCAGCACCCTCACACACACATCACACTAACAGCACCCTCACACACAGCACCCTTACACACACACACACACACACACACACAGCACCCTCACACAGCACACTAACAGCACACACTCACAGCAGTGTATGTGTGTGTATGTATATATATATATATATATATACACGCGGCGTGTGTTTGTGCTTTAGGGTGCACACGAGACATGTGCCCTGTTGTGGTCTCTGGTATCTCGAGTGTTGTGTACCTATTATAAAGCTCCCCCTTTTAACAAACAGTAACTGTGCAATACATGGACATTTATGGACACAATAAAAGAACTGAAAGAAATCTGCTTATAACTTGCGTCCAACTGTTCTATTTGGGTGGAATTATGTAGGCTTGTTATATTCATGTAACTCACTGTTCAGTGCATAAACCCAGTTGTTTTTGTAAAGAGGAATACACCACATATGTATCATCTAGCTTACACTCCAAACTCCACTAAATACGTAGTGAAGTACACTTATGTTCTAATGTTTAAATATTAAACAACTCTCTAAATGCACATGAATAAAGATTATTTACATGTATAGTTGAAATTGTAAATGATTTTAATTTATGAATATGCATCTTTCTAAAACAAAATCAATAATGTGATTTACAGAACATCTGGGGGTAGTCTCCTGAACTCCTACAAACCGTCTCCTTGTTATGACTGTCATTGCTCTTTTCAAATAACAAGCATTATACAGAGCTGGAAAAGTAGAGAATGAATCCCAAGATAACCAGCAATCACACACACACACATGTTGAAATTCTCTGTTATGACCAGAATGCCCCAAGTACAGATCGGTTGCGATGCATAACAGTAATTATTCTGTTTGTATCAAATTGTGGGGAGTTTTATTGTGTTTGGTGCTCACCCTCCTTGGCAATCAGGATCGATTGTCTAATTGTGCAAATGGTATACCTTGATGGAGGTAATTCTCATTCCCGGGCTGCCATATAGTCTCAAAGAAACATATGACCCAGCAAACCAGTCTGGCAAATTTCAATGTGTATAAACTGAAAGGGGAAAACACTATATTTAACCCTGTAACTTTCCAAAAGCCCATAAAACTTGTACATTAGAGTACTGTTGTACTCCTGAGACATCACTGAGCATAAATCTGAGTTTTGAGAGCAGTAAAACATAAAATGACAGTATAATCAAGGAAAAAAATGTTTTTGTTTGAAAAATTTAATAAATAAACATGAACACAAATTTTGGCCAGGGTTTGTGACTCAGTGGCTACTAAAAAGACTGAACATAACTCATTTTGAATACCCTGGGTTACCTAATTTTGTAAATCGTGTGCCATGATGGAGGTAATTTTCATTCCTGGACTGCCATAAGTTCTCAAAGACAACATAGGCCCAGCTAACCAATCTGGCAAATGTCAATGTGTTTGTACTGAAAAGGAGAAGCCTTGTAAAGTTGACCATGTAACTTTCCAAAACCCCATAAAACTTGTATATGTGAGGTTCTGTACATCACTGAACACAAAGATGTTTATGTTATTGCAATAACAACTAACAGTATTGTGACATTCACAGTTAAGATGCCATGCAGAAATAAAAATTCTCAATTTCTCACACTTTTGAAAAATGTTGTTCATATTTAATTATGTTTCATATATAAATATTTGATGTGAAATGAAAGCCCTGTATAATAAGTGTGGGTGTACTTAATATGAAATAAGTAAATTATGATTGAACAAACATATAGCTCAAATTCTAAGTTCTGTTTTGATCATAACTTGCACAATTTGCTCAGTCCTTAAGGGGTTAAAAGACAAAAATATACCGAACTTGTAAGGTTTTAGGACTATTCCTCCAATCTAAAAATGTAATGAAGATGATATATACTTTCACTTGTTTGAAGAAAAGAAAAGGGTTTTACAGGTTAAAAGGTTATGCAGGTTAAAAAGTACTATAAAGGTTAAACCTAAGAACTGTCTCTTTAGAACATCACATGTATGCTGTTTGCAGAGTAGCTAATACAATAACATGAGTGACTACTATTTGCCAAGTCTTGTGGGAACTACTACAGTTTACTTACAAATCACCTTCCTTTCCTTCTGTGACTCCACATTACAAAAGTAAAAGAAAACTTCCCAGCTGCTGAAGAATGGCTTGTATTTTCAATGTCTTTAAAGGAATGTATCAGAGCTTTGTATGTTTATTTAGTAATTCAAGGAAAAACTTCACATTTATTCAGTTACCAAAGCAACACACAAACATGTAGGCAAAATTCTTAAAATCTTCTGACCCTTGTGTACAGTGTATTGTGTGTGTCATACACAGGGCAAGGTTGAGGATACAAATTGGCTTGGGCTGGTGTAATAAACGTTTAACTCGCAAGTTGGAGTAAACTTGGAATTAATAATAACATTAATAACTAAAAATAATAACTTAAAAACCGAGTGTAAAGTCAGAGTCCACACTCCTTGCATTCGGAAATTCAATAATATTTAAGAGGATAATCACACAAATAAACAATACATATACATTTGAAATAGGCTAGTATATGTTGTTACTAAAACTAGCCATTGACTGAATGGAAAGTAGACTAAATTAACGTAGTAAAACCGGTATAGACATGTGATACAGTTACCACTCCATTGATCATCTGCTGAGAGTAAGAGAAAGAGGGTGTGTATAGTCAGGAGAGCAAATAGAGAGAGAGAGAGAGAGAGGAGGGTGAATTCAAGGAGAGGGAATGTGCTATTCACAGGTACTTTTAACACATTAGCCCTTTCTTCTGCTGGACACACCTCCCTCAGTCAATCCCTTAGGATGTAACAGAACCAGAGCGCCTCGTGGGGGAAGGGAGATTGCACCGGTAGGGAATGGAGGACTGGTTTATCAACAACTCAACTGGTTTTGCCTGGTGAAAGGCCATGTGCTTCACAGAGAACTTCATTATTGCCTTAGGGTAGAATGGGGATTGAATCCCCGTATTAGAACACAATTACACTTCATTGACATACAGTTTGGCTGTTAATCAGTCCCCCCACTTATTACAGCTGGGCACATAAAGTCAGAGCAGTTCAATAGGAGGAGGTAGGGACAGGGAGGAGACAGAGAGGGGATGTGTCAAAGTAAATATGTTAGTTTGATGTATTTCTATGTAAAATGCCCTGTATTTGTTTACGCAGCACAAGTACATTTAATGACATGCTCGCCCTGTGTTTACCGGTGAATCGTCTCTGGTGTCCCCAAAAGCTGGATACCAGAGAGCAAAAAGAATGTTGTGCACGTGTAGGGAGACTGCCTGTGGTGTTGTATGTGTTTGAAGGCTGCTTGTGGGGTTGTGTGCATAAAAGCATTTCATTGTGGTGTAGTGTGTGAAATGTTTTGTTTGTGGTGTACTATGTGTGTTTATGGACTATTGTGTGTTTGTGTCCACAGGATGTAAAGTGTGTGTCTAGGGGCTGTAGAGAGAGTGAGTGTGCCTAGAGGGTATTGTCTATAGGGTGTAGTGCAGGGTCGGACTGGAGATACAAAGCAGCCCTGGAAAAAAATCTATGCCAGCCCCATAAGTCATTGTGCTATGTAGTGTATGTGTTTTAAATAAATATATATATATATATATATATATATATATACACACACACACACACACACATTTTTGAATTAGAAAAAGAAATATACCAATAATATATATATTATTGGTATATTTCTTTTTCTAATTCAAAATATTAGTCCTTTCAGGGTAATTAAATTATACAGTAAAGCATACTCACATGCAGACACAGACAATCTTACTGACACAAGTTCATTGTATACAGGCTCACAGACAATCGCATTGATATACATAAGCCCATTGACATAAAAACACAAGCTCACTGATACACACAAATAGGCTCATTGACAGACAATCTCAATGACACACACAGACAAGTTTACTGATACACACACACACACACACAAATTTAGTACAGAAGACTCTGATACACACAAGCTTACTACATGCAAGCTCACTGTCACACACACACTCACTACAGACAAGCTCACTGATGCGCACACACTCTCCCTACAGACAAGCCCATTGACACACACATGCTCCCTACAGACAAGCTCACTGATGCACACACACTCTCCCTATAGACAAGCCCATTGACACACTCATGCTCCCTACAGACAAACTCACTAACTCACAATCCCTACAGACAAGCTCACTGACACACATACAAGTTCACTCACTAGCAGGCACACACACACACAAGCTCACTCACTAGCAGGCAAACACACACAGAAGCTCCCTCACTAGCACACGCACACACAAACTCACTCACTAGCAGATGCACACAGAATCTCACTCACTAGCAGATGCGCACAAACACAGAAGTTCCCTCACTAGCACACATACAAAAGCTCACTCACTAGCAGGAACACACAAACTCCCTCACTAGCAGGCACGCACACACACACACAAACTCCCTCACTAGCAGATGCACACACACACACACAGAAGCTCACTCACTAGCAGATGAGCACACACACAGAAGCTCTCTCACTAGCAGATGCACACACACACACAGAAGCTCACTCACTAGCAGATGCGCACACACACACACACAGGAAGACATCCACACACACAGAGGCAGACAATCACACACAAACAGAGGCAGACAACCATACACACACACACACACACACACAGGGCAGGCAGGCAGACAGCCACACACACACAGAGGCAGGCAGGCAGACAGCCACACACACACACAGACAACCACATGTTTGCTTTTAAATGCAGATGTGTGTAGGGTTGCTGTTTGTATAGCATTTTAGCATTTTTATACAGCAGTGTGTTTGTAAGTTATGTTTGCTTGCAGGGGTGTGTTTGTATGTTGTGTTTTATTTTAAGGGGTGTGTTTGTATATAATTCTGGTGTTTGAATTCAGGTGTGTTTGTATGTAATGGTTTTGCAAGGTTGTGTTTGCATGTTGTGTTCATGTTTGATGGGTTGTATGCACATACGCACACAGATATACATACACATTAACACACAAATGCACACATATAGACACACTGACACATACACATAGATACAATGATACACAAGTGGAAACATGCACACACCTTGACAGAGAGATACACACACTGGCATATAAACACACTCAAATGCACAAAGTGACACACACCTTCACACAAAGATATACAAACACAGATATACACATGTACCAATACACACACTGCCACACAGATGCAAACACTGTCACACAGATACAAACACACACACACACAGTGACAACTAGAGATACTCACGGATGGCCCTGCATGCACCGGTGGTAGTTTCACCACTACTCTGACTGGTGCATGGGCCAGCAAATACATCACAGATCCTATGATCTCTCCAGTCAGCCTAAGCCCATGGCCATCGTGAACAACCGGTTTGTCCGAGTATGTATATGTATATTCCTTGCACTCCTGCTCCTGTTATCCACAAAAGTTTGCATCACTACAAGCACTTTATGGAGAATATTTTATCCATATTTAGACCTTGTTTGTATATTAACCTGCATAATGTATGAAAATTGATGAAAAATTAAAGCTTTATATTTTAAGATATATTACACAGAACGCCAATACTACATACAAATACACCCCTAGATTCAAAAGCAATCACTACACATCGGTAAAAGCTATTTTTTTCTAAAACTCCGTCATGCGCTAAAATTAACCCAGATAGCCGAGATTGAGGGGTTAACGCTCCTCCAGTCTGCCTCGGTATTCGCAGACCCTCCCTGTGCTTCCGCGGTCAGTGTGAAGTGCAGGGAGATGGATTGGATCAGTGCTGCTGATCTTCTACCTGTTAAAAATAAATAAATAAACTTTAAATCCCACCCCCCTTTTCCCCTGCTTTAATAAAATTAACCCATTCCCTCCCAATTGATCACTGACATCAATTGGCACGGACTACATTTTACTGTGATCTGATTATTTTGTTTAACTTTTATTTAATTTTTTTTAACCCTCAGGGTTACATTTATTTTGTTAATTAATTTAAATATTTTAAAACTATATATTTAGCTAGCAGGGGTGGGTGGAAGTTAGTGGGGAGCTAGCTAGGGGTTAACATTAAAAAAGTTATCAAAAAAAGTTAAAAGAAAGTTTAAAACATTTTTTAATAACATTTAAAAAAAAGTAAAAAAAAAAAATTCCACCACCCTTTTCCCAGTCCTATTAAAAATTAACCCCTTCCTGCCAGTTGATCACTACCTACAGTGATCAAAATACAGATCACAGTATTATACTGTGATCTTTTGGGGTTTTTTTAACCCCTGAGGGTTAACTTTTTTTTTTTCCCTCAGGGGTTCAATTTATTTCATTAAATAATTAGCCGGGGTGGGTGGGAGTTATGGGAAATTGGGGGATTTACTGTTAGTGCTGCTTACTGCTAGTTAGGGGTTAACACTTAAAAAAAATATATTAAAATTTTAAAAGTGTAAAAAATTAAAAAAAAAAGAAAGTTTAAAAAATGTAATAAGTTAAAAAAAAGTTTAAAAACGAGTTTTCAAAAGTTACAAAAATACATTAAAAAATTACGACTATACCTGGAACAAACTAGAGAAAAAATGATCCCACACTAAGGTTCAAAATATGGCTTTTGAATTACACTGGGGTGTATTCTTTAATAAATAGTATGTGTTTGTGGGGAAGTTTGAATAACGAACTAGCTAAACTACTCCGAAATGAAACATGGACACAGCGTAAAACTTCAAAGTTAGAAACAAACTAAATGTCTTTGTCTCAAAAGTGGCCCTTTAACATCCACATATACCTGGCAAAGGTACATACGGGGGGATTGCTGTACTCAGACAACATAGCTGAAGCTGAGCAACATATGAAGTATTATACAGTCGTAGCACACATAAGGATTACAAAATAGACTGTGCAAACTCATTTTGTGTGTCAAAAAGGCAGAAAAAATGCTTATTACCACACTTGGTACAAGCTAGCGGACAAATTATACCATGCCAAGGTTCAAAATATGCCTTTTGAAATACCCTGGGATGTCTTCTTTAAGAAATGGTATGCCTTTATGGTGTAGTTGGAATATGTAGC